GATTCGTAACCACTGGCAGTCCATAGTTCATTTAATATTTTTGCCAACACTATAATTCAAGTACATCAATTCTTCTTTGGTCTTCCTTATTTATCGACCAGCTTTAACATGCATATGGTGGTGGTAGTGGTGGTTATGTGCCGTGAAGTTGTTTCCAAGTCATAGCCACCCTGTGTAGGCTTTCCGAGGCTCTTTACAGGAACAGAAAGCCCCAGATTTCTCCTGCAGAATGGCTGGTAGCTAGGAATGTCTGACCTTGAAGTTAGCAGCCTGACTTATAACCACTATGCTACCAGAGCTCCTTTACATACATATGAGGTGATTGAAAATACCATGGCTTGGGTCAGGCAAGTGATATTTTTGCTCTTCAACACTACCAAGAGATTTTTTGCAGCAGATTTGCCTAATGCACCATATCATTTGATTTCTTGACTGTTGCTTCCTTGAGTGTTGATTGTAGATTCAAGCAAAATGAGGTATTAGACATCTTCAATCTTTTCACTGTTTATCAAGATACATGGGATTAGAAATAAAACTTTTGATAAGATGAAGTTTCTTATTAAGTGAAATATCAATGAGTTTCTAGATATTATATAGCTCAATGCAGTATCATATATTCAAGTTATGTATATAGTTACTGAAATCAAAAGAGATTAAACTGATAGTATTTTAAAAAGTGACCACCAACAACAGAAACAATAAATGACAACCATTTCATTCATAAGGGTATTGTGAGTGACTATATAGACTTTTAGGAGTTTGGTGACTCTGTATAATAAGCACTGGACTGTGAACCACAAGGTCATTGGTTTGAACCCACCAGCTGGAGAAAGATGAGGCTTTCTGCTCTTGCAAAGATTTACTGTCTTGGAAATGCTATACAGGGTTGCTATGAGTAGGAACTGATTCAACAACACTTCGCAAAAACATAGTAACTTTTGTGGACTTGTAATAAAAAGGGCAATAGAGGCATATATTGTTAATATGACCAGGCTTTGAAATCTACAATATCATAAGACAATATAATGGACATATTTATCACTTGCTTGGCACTGTGGGCTAATTATCAGGACTGCAAGTTCAGTTTGAGCTGCAAGGTTGGCCGTGCAAATTCACCAGTCACTCCTTGGAAACCCTATTTAGGGTCACTGTATATGGGTCGGACCCAACTCTACAGCACTTAACAACAAAAAAATCAATGAAACTAATAGGATTCTTGAGTGTTTTATTCATGTTTCAGACCCAGCCAAAAACCAAACTCATTGCTGTTAAGTCAATTACAACTCATAGTGACCCTGTAGGATACAGAACTGCCCAATAGAGTTTCCAAGACTGAAATTTTTGGAAGCAGTCTGCCAAATGTTTCTCCAATGTAGCAGCTGGTGGGTTTGAACCACTGATGTTTCAGTTTGTAGCCAAATACTTTAATCACTGTGCTATTTTCAGCACCCAGGCTTGAATAATCATATCCTAACAATGTCACCCTAAATTGTGCTTATAAGGAACCTGTACATAGAGCAAGAGGCAGATGTTCGACGAGAATAAGGGAATATTGAAAGGTTTAAAATCAGGAAAGGTATATGCCAGAGCTGTATTCTTTCACCATACTTTTTCAGTCCGTATGCTGAGCAAATAAAGCTAGGTTATATGTGGAAGAATGTGACATCAGGATTGGAGTAAGACTCATCAACAACCTGCAGTATGCAGATGACACAAACTTGCTTGCTGGGAGCAAAGAGGACTTGAAGTACTTAGATGAAGATCAAAGGCCAGAGCCTTCAGTATGGATTACACTTCAATGTAAAGAAAGCAAAAATCTTCACCTACTGGACCAATAAATAACATGATAAAATGGAGAAAACATTGAAGTTGTCAAAGATTTCATTTTATTGGATCCACAATCAACACTTATAGAAGCTGCAGTCAAGAAATCAAACTGCGTATTGCATTAGGTGTTTGAGTTTCTGCCTATGAACCAACTGGATGTTATGGCAGATTCTTCAAAGTAAATTTTTCCGTTAAGACAGCTTGAATCTATTTTTGTATTGAGGCAAACCTTTTTCCCTAACATGATCCTAGAAATTAATAGATAAGTAAATAAATAAAATCCACTCTCATTGATTCTATAAATAAGTTCTTTTATTTCAGTAATTGTGATGACTGGTATGTTTCTACTAGTCTTCCCTATTGCATGGTAAATATTTTCAATTAATTCAATCCCAAAATATTGACACGGTATATGGAAGCCTCATAGATCATTCTTACCAAGATCTTCTGATATCTATAGTTATCTTAAACTGTTATTTCAAGAATTGTTCCTACTGCTCAAAATAAATATGTACCATTACCCACCCCCCCATCACCCCAACCCCCACCGCTGATATGCATGGATGACTATCCATTAGAGAATTGACTTGAGAGCAGAAACCCTGTACAACAGTTATGAGTCAGAACTGATTCGACAGCGCTTAACAAGTATCAGATCAAACTATTTCTTTGAAGGAAAACAATCTGTTTCTAAATAGACGCCTTACCAATGAAATGTGGGATGTATTTTTTTTTTTTTTATATGCATGCTGCAATGCTTTTTAGCAATGTGCCTCCTAAAGTTCTATTGATCTAATACATGGTATATGTTAAATAATCTATTAAAGAAAGTGGCCACCCAATTAGTGAAATAGATAAGTGATCCAAAGGCAACAAATGAAAAACTTTTTATTCAGTTTTGTACTTGGCAGCAAGGATCCCTCTCTAGATCTGTTTAATTTATGCTGTTTCTGCCATTCCTTTCCTTCATCAACATTTATCCCAGTACCCCAGAGTTCCTAGAAATGGTTTTACACATGTTTCCTCTTACACTTCCTAGACTTACAATGGTAAGTCAAAAAGTACTGCTGCTAGGGTTTCTACTCATGCATGCTTGGGTTTAGTCCAAACAAAACCTGTTTAAATATGTCTCTGTGATCAGTGGATGGCTGCAGACAAGCCCTCTCAGTAAGACACTTGTCTTAGTCTTGTTAGGGTGCCTTCAAAAAAGAAAAACTGACTCAAAACAGTGGCTTCTCCGGGCGTCTGATAGGCTAGTTAAATTCAAAGCAGAGAAGTCAGTTCAGAAGGTTATGGTAACTGTTTTTTTGGAACTCCCAAGGGATAATCATGGTAGATTTTCTTAAAGGACACAGAATGACCATGGGGGTTTATTATGAATGTTGTTGTTAAGTACTGTCAAGCCCTTTCAGATTCAGCGACTCTGTATAGGGTTTCTGAGGCTTTAGTGATCTTTGCAGGAGCAGAACACCCGCAGCACAGTTATTGGCAGGCTCAAACTGCAGACCTTGTGGGTCACAGTCCAGTGAGGGAGACACAGCACTCCCTTATCTTGAATATGTTTTAAGAAAATTGAAAAATTACATTGGTGAGAAAGAGGCCTGGGAAACTTCACCAAAGCATTTTCCCCATCATGACAATGTACCTGCTCATTTTTGAGGGTTGCAAGAGCTGTACTATGAGAATTTCATCGCAAAACCTTACCCCACCCACCCTGCAGCCCTGATCTTTCCACTTCAGATTTCATTTTGTTCCCCAAACTCAAAGAACATTTCAAAGGAACACAATTTGAGTCCTTCGAGGGTGCCCAAACTGCTATTTAATATGATGGAAAGATGGAAACATTGCCTTCTGATGTGTATAGACCTAAATAGAGGGTATGTTGAGAAGCAATTGCCTCAATTTTTGATATTTTTGGTCAATGTTTCTATGAGTTTGAAGCAACTTTTGGACTTACCCTGGTATATAGATAGAGCTGATTTTGAATGGCTTCAGAAATGGAAGCCTGCCTAAGTTAGGGCACTAGAGCCTGGAGGCTTGAACTTTCAGTAAAAGAAATTGAATGGTACTAGGCCTGGTGTGGTGTTGTGGGTTAATGTGCTTCACTGCAACGTTGGTTTGAACCACAAGGTCGGCTGTTCCAACTTACCAGATGCTTCTAGGAAAACCTATACAGGGCCATGATGGGTCAGAACTGACTCGATGGCACTTTACAACAACAATTTTAGAAGAGTTGTTCTCAAAATTGTTAGATAGAGAGATAATATTATTCTAATAATACTCTTCCCCTTTTAGTGTTGCCTCAGTATTTTTTATTTTTTTATTTTGGGGAACATCAACAACATTTGAACCAGAGAGTGTGTGACTATCTTATAGATCCCAGCTCTTTTGATTTATGGAGTTGTATAGAGCCATACAGTTTTTGGAAAAATGGCTAAATATTTATTACCTTTCTGGTAGAAGAAAACAATTATTGCTATCAGTTGCATTAAACAGCTCAAATACCTATGGGAGAAATTCATTAGCATACATTTTTTTGGAAACCATTTAATAATATGCACCAAGAGACTTAAAATATTTGTGTCTTTTGACCTTATGAATCCTACTGAGAATTTATTGTAAGGAAAGAATCAGAAATATAGACAAAAACTTGATGCTTAATGGGATTTATCACTTTTCCATTATTTATAATGGAAACAGTTGTGACTAGTCTGAATGTATTAATACAAGGTAACAGTCATAGAAACTCCAATAGACCAACCATTGTGTTAGTCATTGAGAATGTTTACTAGAATGATGGAATAACATGAAAGATATTTTTATATAATGTATGATGACAAATTAATAAAATATGCCTTTGCTTAGAAAAATATTTGTTAAGTGCCATTGAGACAGCTCTGACTCATAGTGAACCTGTATAGGGTTTCCGAGGAGTGGCTGGTGAGTTTGAACCTTCAACTTTGTAGTTCAAATCAACTGTGGTCTAGTGCCACACCAGGACTCTATATCTAAGTTTAGGCATTGATTTGTTTGGAGGTGAAACTGTGATTATCATTTTATTTTAGAATTTTACAGTAGCAATGAAAGTTTCTTTAAGGAATAAAAGTATTATTTGCTTTATAGCTTTAAACAACAGAAGTGAATGGTAACTGCAAGCATTGGAATAAGACTTTTGCAAAGGAACATTGGGCAGCATGGATTCCTTAACAGAAGAATTTTTTGAGAGGTAAGAGATGGATTGACAAATGCCAACTGCATTTTTTGTCTTTTTCACATAATCCTAGGAAAATAGTAAGAATGAATTAGCCTTATGCTTTGTGATATTTTAGTAGCTTTGATTAGTGAGGGAAGATAATTAAGTGAAATCTAATTTTAGAAAAGTTCTGTAGGAACCACAAATAAAAGAATGCACCATAAATTACCTTACTTAAGATATTCTCACTCAAACAATGTTTTATTTATTAGTTCACGAACACATAGATTTTCTATGTGCCATACCAAGGTTAATAATTATAAATCTCATAATAATTAGATGGGGTAGGTGTTATTATCCTTATTTATAGAAGGTAGTCAAAACATTGCAGAGAAGACCTTAACTTAGACTGGTTGTTTTGGATCCATGGGAAATGCAGTCTATCCTATCCAACCAAAGAAAGGTCAGCTTACCTATCCCTCTCCCATCCAATACTAAATAGCAATTTAGGATTGGAAATCTCCCTCTAACCTTGTTGTTATTGTTTTTAAGTTCCGTTGAATTGGTTCCAACTCCATAGCGACCCTGTATCGGGTTTCCGAGGAGCAACGGGTGAGCTTGAACTTCCAACCTTGCTGTTCAAAGCGACTTTGTAGTCCAGCACATTATCCCATAGCACCACACCAGGGCTAACTTTGAGTTGCCCTATGTAATAAGTAATGTGATCTACTGATTTATTTTACAAATATTTACTAACCTTGGTGCTTAGGGAATGAACACTAAATCAAAATGTGTGTATATTTAGAGAGAACTTAGAGTGAGGAAGATTATATATATATATATATATATACACACACACCACACACACACACACACACACACACACACACACACACTCTGATAGCGTAGTGGTTACGAATCGGGCTGCGAACCTTAAGGCCAGCAGTTCGAAACTACCAGCCGCTCCGCGGGAGAAAGATGAGGCGTTCTGCTCCCGTAAAGATTTACAGCCTCGGAAACCCTGTACAGGGTCACTATGGGTCGGATCCGACTCGATGGCACTTAACAACAACAACATATATATAAATTACATCTTTAAGCAAAATGCATACTTGTTGAATTAGAGATCTTGTTGCTATATATAGAAAGAAGCAATAACTTTTGACTGGGAATTGAGTTAGCTTTTATAAAGTGACATTTGAGCTAAACTTTTAAAGGATGAAATCATTTTGCTAGGAGAACACACACACACATATGAATAAGGGGACATTGAAGTTTCAAGGAAAAATGGAATTAAAAGATAATGGAATTTTTCTATGTGAACTTTTTGAAGCCTCTCATATATAATACACACAAACACATTTTTTATATGTGTAAATTTCAGTATATGTCATAATATCAAAATGTTAAGATTCTATGCAAAAGTGCAACATATGTAGGCTGGAAAGGCATCAGGATACCTATAGAAAAATCTGGGTGTATAATTTTGAACAAGTTATGTAACCTCTCTTTTATTTTTATATTTACTGATCTATAAAATAAAGTGACTGCCGTATATACTTAGATTTTCCTGTTCTAATACACTGAAAGCGTTATTGATGATGATGTTTGGCGCTCTGTATTAAAATTATTAAAGCAACAGATGAGTAAGATGAATATGAGGAAGAGGAATAGTCAGTGGAAGATGCTGAGAAGTGGAAGGCTAGGAGGTCTAGGAGGAGAATCACAGAAGCTTGAAGTGTACCAAGTTTTTCAAGGAGGGTTGCAAGGTATGACAGACAATCTTGATGCAAGGTAGAATGGAGAGTTAAGAGAAGCACTAGAATAGTTTAATCAATGAGGATTTCATTAGTAACTTCTAATGCAACAATTGGAATGTTGGCAAGGGGATGAAATAAGTTGGAGTTGCACATAAACTTTTGTTATGAAACCAATAGAAAATATAACAGCTCACATCCCACACTTTTGATTCAGAAGCTTTGAAGCAGGGTTCAGGTATATGCATAGTTCAGAAACGTCACAGGTAATTTTAATATGCATTTGGGATTAAGAACTACTGGGTTAAAGAGTGAATGATCATGTAGTCAGAAAGTAGATTATATAGGTTTGAGAGCATAGAAAGATTCTCTTTCTCAAGCCTAAAGAAGCTTCAGAATACTGTTGCAATGGTTTCTTCTTGTGATGACACAACCCCTGATTCCTTTTTGGAGTAGGACAAAGAGGAAAATACAAGAAACAGGTTTCTTTACATTGATAGAGTTAAGAGCATTGAGAATGATATTGTGAAATGTTATATATATGTAAATTATTTTTGTTGAAACTTTCACAAGGAGTCTAAAAATATGGATAATATTATACTATGTATGTGTCTCACTTTTCCTTGGCAAAATCAGCTAGCATTTGGTGGATGATAAAAGACTTTCTCTTAAATTAATACCTAAATTTAAAGTAAAATAGGATATTTATAAAGTACAATTAAGAGTAAATCAAATAGTATACATTTCTTACTTGTTTTGTCTCTGTTAGTGTATAAAATTAAGAAGATTACATAAATCATTGAATTGATCCTATATTATACCTCAATATGTGGTGGTGGTGGTTGTGGTGGTGGTGTGCTGTGGAGTTGGTTCCGACTCATAGTGACTTTGTATAGGTTTTCTAAGGCTGTAAATCTTCATGGGAGCAGAAAGCCTCATCTTTCTCATGCAGAACTGCTAGTAGTTTTTAACTGCTGACTTTGAGCTCATTATGAAGACAGAAATTTTATAGATGAATTTTTCAGTTCAGTATGTACATTTTCATATGCTCCTATTTTATGCTAACGTCAAAAGCAAAATCTGTCCAGTTATTCCTTTTTACAAAAATGGTTAATTTGCAAATATTCTGTTTCAATTTAAAATATATTTTTTGAAACAGTAATTGTAAAGTCAGGATCCTCAAGTAAAAAGTAAAATTACGTACTAGTGACAGATCCCTTTTCTCATACTATAAATTCACACACAAAACAAAACAACTTTTTCAAACACTTTTTTTCTTTACCTTGAAGCAGTGCTATAAAGTTAACATGAAAATTATTTTGCTGTATTATGAGCTTGTTAAAGATGTAGAATTTTGTGTCTACTTTCTGTTCTATAACTAGTAAGGGCATGACATGTATTTTTTAACTGGAGTCCTTAAAGTGTTATGGAACCTACTTTCATATCAATTTTTGATTCACAGAGGTTACATTTCTGAAACTTGCCAACACAAATTCAATTGTTAGATTCTTTACTACTGTAATTATATTGTATTCATTTAAGGAGATGCTTTGAATACTTCTTTTTCACTTGAAACAGGGATCCCCCTGTGGAAGAGCAGAATAAGGAGGAAACCGAGAATAAGTTAGAAGATTCAACTTGTCAACTGGTAAGAAAAAAATTAATTTTCATTAATCGTTAACTACTAAGTAACTTAATTCATGATAACTAATAATGAGCTTGACTATATAAAGAAGAATGTAGCATCATGATTGAAGGAAGACTTTTTAGCAACCTGTGGAATGCACATGATACAACCTTGCTTGCTGAAAGTGAAAAAGACTTGAAGAACTTGCTGATGAAGATTCAAGACTATAGATCTCAGAATGGATTACACTTCAATGTGAATAAAACAAAACTCTCACAACTCGATCAATAAGCATTATCATGATAAACAGAAAATATTGGTATTGTCAAGTGTTTCATTTTACTTGGATAAACAATCAACTTCTATGGAATTAACAGTCAAGAAATCAAACGATCTATTGCATTGGGCAGATCTCCTGCAAAAGCTCTCTTTAAAGTGTTAAAAAAAAAAACAACCAACCCAAACATGTCACTTAGAGGACTAAGTTGTGTCTGACCCATGATATTTTCAGTCACTTTTTAATGCACGTAAAAGCTGGACAATGAATAAGGAAGACTGAAAAATAGATACATTTCAATTATGATGTTGGCAGAGAATATTGAATGTCTTGTGGACTGTTAGAAAACAAACAAATCAGTCTTAAAAGAAGTGCAGCTGGAGTGCTCTGTGGAAACAAGGATGATGACACTTCCTCTGAAGAACTTCTGACATATCATCAGGAGAGACCACATCCCTAGAGAAGGACATCATAGTTAAGAGATTGTCAGCAAAAAAGATGACCCTCGTTGAGATGGATTTACATAGTGACTACAACAGTGGGCTCAAACATAGCAACAATTATGGGAATGACCTAGGAACAGTGTTTCTTTCTGTTGTATATAGGGTTGCTATGAGTTGTAACTGACTTGATGGCACCGAATCACAACAGATATGCTTGAGAGTATAAATCTAAACCATAACCAAACCCATTGCTGCCCAGTTAATTCCAATTTATAGGAATCCTGTTGGACAGAGTGGAATTTTTCTATACAGTTCCAAGACTGTAAACTTTATAGAAGCCTATAGTCACATCTTTCTCCTTGCAAAGTGCCTGGTTGGTTTGAACTGCTGACCTGTTTTGTAGCAACCAAACCCTTAACCACTGTGTCACGAAGGCTCCTAATGTAATGCTAAATCAAGTCAATTACTTATCTGTTAAATGGTCTTAGATGAATCCACTTTACTGCTTTTATAAGTAAAAAGTTCATATTAAATCTTTCTTTGGTGATTGATATGTGATATGTGCATCTCAGGTTATCATTCTAAACACAAATACTCACTGTAACTTAAAATGAGTAAATATTTGCATTGATTGGCCCAAAAAAATCTATTTTAAGAAAGCTTTCATTAATATTTTAAAGCAAAACTCAAAAATACAAAAAACAAAACAAACACAAACCCCACACATAAACATATACAAAGAAACACGCATCATAATTTTATTTAGGAAGAAGTTTCACTGAGTGTTTATGAAGTTAAGATAATTTTCTTCTCTCGTTTTGTAGGTTTTCCTGTTAGGATATCCAGTGTTAAATGAAAGGGAGTAAATATGAATCGTGCCTTAATGCATGACTTTTATTGCCAATGACAATATAATTGGTGGTAAATTATATCTATCACATGTGCTTATATTTAGTTACTTAGAATTGTTGTTGTTAAGTGCCTTTGAGTCTGTTCCGACTCATAGCAATCCTGTATAGGGTTTTCAAGGAGCAGCTGGTTGGTTTGAACCACTGAACTTGCAGTCCAAACTGACCTTGTATTATCCTGCAAGCGCCACACCAGGACTTCAGTTATTTAGTGTAGGGGTGTTAAAGAGGTATTTATTTGGTTCTTGTTAATACAGATTTACCTTTCAAAAAGCTATGTTTAATGATTGATGTTCACTTGTTGATACATTTATATAGGTAGACCCTGCCTTATGATATATTTCAGTTAAGACAAATCTCTCTTAGAACATTTTTTTGTATATCTTATAGTTAGTAATATATACTGCATACAGTGTTGCAGCATGTAAATTGTTTCATTTCAGAAGTGATTATTTTGTTCATAACTTCTAAATGAATTTATGTATGGACTTGTCTATATTAAAACTTACTGGGTTTTGATCTTAAACTTCCTGCTGTGTTCTAATTTCCTTGAGAATAGGAGAATGTATGTCTTATCTAAATTTTCTGTATTTCTATCACAGTGATTTGCATATGTGTGAACTTTGTTACTTATTAAATATTTTGATCTATAAATTAGAACATGGTTAATTATGTAAATTTTCATGATTATATCTTCTAGGTCAAAGAGGAAGAAGACACACCTACTGATCTTGCCCCTATTAACCTACTATTAGAAATGAAGAAGTTATTGAATGCAATTAATGCTCTACCAAAAGGTGTGGTCCTACACATTAAGAAGTTTTTACAAGAAGATTTTTCCTTCCAAACTATGAAGGTAACATCATAATTTGTTCTTTGAAGTGTAGTTTTCTGATTTTTCTTTTCTTTTTTAATTCTACAACAGTACATTTAAGGTCTCAAAACCTGTGTCTTATTTCTTATTTCTTTGTATCAACCTTGACTATGGAATTAGTTGGCCCTTTCAAGAACAATGGTAGGGCTATAAGTTTGTAGCTTGTTAGTGTGGGCTAGAATGGCTGTGTTTATTCAAAGTTTATTAATAACATATAGTATGATGCTCTGGGATAAGGGACCACTTTTGGCTTCCTAATTTATAAAATGCTAACAGTTTCTCAAAACGTAAAGAAAATTAACATCCAAAACTTTGGGATTTATGAATCAAATATTCTAGAGAATCTAGTGTAGAGTTTCTTCCTAAAAATTGTATGGCTTAATAATAATTGTGATCACTTCAACACAGGAAGAGTATAATTTATTAAATTAATCTTGTTTTCTAAAGTTTAAAAAAAAAAAGAGCGATCAAGTTCTTTCTTTGTGGTATTTAACTGAGGGAAAGAAGGAGTAAAACACTATAAGCAGAAAATCAAAGCCTATTGTTGAGTCAATTCCTGCTCATAGAGACCCTGTAGAACTGACCTATAGTATTTCCAAGACTTTAGTACTTACCAAAGGAGTTCTGGTAGCATGGCAAGTATGTGCTAAGCTACTAGCAAGTTGGTGGCAGTTCAAACCCTCCAGACACTTTGCAAGAAAGAAATAGGGCTGTCTTCCTCCATAAAGATGTACAGCCTTTGAAACCCAATGGGGCAGTTCTATTCTGTCTCATAGGGTAGAGGGTACCTATGAGTAGAAACTGACTCAACAACAGACGATTAATCTTTATGGAAACAGACTGCTGCATCTTTCTCCCACAAAGCAACTGATGAGTATCTGCAAAAAGACACACATTCACATTTTTGGTGAAATTATGTCATTCTTGTGAAGCAAATAATACTATTATGGCTGAAATTCATACATACTCAGAAAATACAAATAAGACTTTATATACAATTACAGCCTAAACTGAGACAATTTCTGCATCATTTATCATTGGCCATCACACCCTTCAACCTACCTTGAAAACCTTGGCACTGCTAGCTCTCTAGTAAATGATGCAGAAAGGAAGGTAGAATGGAGAGATAAGAGAAGACATTGGAGGATTTACCACAGTATGAAATTGTTTTCAACTTTGAGAAGTAATGCCACCATTTTCTTCTTACCTTTGGAAATCACCAGTTAGAAACAGAAATCAGTAGCCTGTATGTATGTATGTATGTATATATATATAAAATAGCCAGTTAGAAGATAGAAATTGAAGAAAGTTCTTATTTGTAATATAAATACACAAGGTAAAATAACCCAGCCAAATTTAGAAATGTACAAGTGATTTACTAGTATTTCTCAAAGCTGTCCTAAACAAGCTACATCAGAGTATCTGAACCCCTACTGTTGGTGCTGCTGCTACATGCATGCTTTCAAGTTGATTTCGACTCAGCAAATTTGTATAGGGTTTCCATGTTTGTAAATCTTACAGAGCAGAAATCCTCATCACTCTCCCATGAAGCAGCTGGTGGATTTGAACTACTGATCTTGTGGTTAGCAGCTCAGCATGTTACCCACTCCTCTACTAGGGCTAAATCTCTGTATCAGTCGGTAAATCTGTATTTTAACAAACATTCATACTTACTGATCTTCATTACAATAAGTTTAAAAATCAATATATTTTAACAAAAATAAAAGCTTTATGAAAAATGAAAAAAGAAGACATGAATGGAAAGCAGTATATATAGGAAGGTCACAGTATAAAAAAGCTGTCAATTTCTCTTAAAATCTACAAATGCCACATCATTCTAATAAAAATGTCAAAAAGAGTTTGTCATTATTGTTACTAAAGGAGCCCTGGTAGCATAGTGGATTATAAACTGGGCTGCTAACCACAAGATCATTAGTTCAAATTTATCAGCTGCAACCCGAGAAAAAGATGAGGCTTTCTGCTGCCTTACAGACTTATACCCATAGAAACCCTATACAGAGTCAATATGAGTCGGAACCAACTCAATGGCCCTTAACAACAACAACAACAATTGTTACTAAAAGCTAATTCTAAAGTTCAGATAGTACAAAAAATAGCCAAGAAAATTATGAAAGAGAAGATTAGGGTGAAAAGGATGGGAACTTGTCCATTTAGATTTCACAACTTAGTTTGAAAGTCTAAGAATTAAAAGATTGTGTTACTTGTTCTAGACTTCACAGACAGGTTTTCAGAATAGAAGAGAAAGTCTAAAAATAGACCCAAATTCTTACAGACATTTTATGTATAATAAAATGACAATAACAAAGAAAAAACAGGATCCTTCAATTTGCTGTCTGCTAGAGACACACTTTACACTCAAAGACAACCATAGATTAAAAATTTAAATATGGAAAAAATTATCAAGCTAATGGCAACCAAAAGGGTCAGTATTAATCTTTGATAAAATATACTTTAAGGCAAAAATCAGCATAGGAGACAAGGAAGGACATTATCTAATGATGAAAGGATCAATTTAACAAGAGGACATAACCATTAATAAAGATCTATGCTCCCATTGAAAGAGTCTTAAAATACACAAATCAAACTCTAATTGAAGAAAGAAGCATAACTCTACAGTAACAGTAGGAGATTTAATACACTACTGTCAAAAAAAAGCACAGTACAACCAGAAAGAAACCCATCAAAGACACAGAGGAACTAAATAATATAACCAACTTGACCTCATAAATTTATACAGAGCGCTCAACCCAACAACAGTACAATACACATTCTTTTCCAGTATGCATGAAACATTATCTAGAATTGACCATATGTTAGGCTACAAAGCAAGTCTCAATACATTTAAAAATATCAAGATACTACAAACTGTCTTCTTAGATCACAATGCTATGAAATTAGATATCAACAATAGGAAGATCAAGAAAACAAAATCAAATAAATGAAAACTGAATAACATTCAGCTTAAAAGCTACTGGGTAACAGAATGAATTAAAAACAGAATTAAAAAAGTGTTCCGTGGGAGAAAGATGAGGCTTTCTGCTCCCGTAAAGATTTACAGCCTCGGAAACCCTGTACAGGGTCGCTGTGAGATAGAACCGACTCCACAGCACATAACAACAACAACAACATTGAGGCAATTGAGAATGAAAACACAACATGCTAAAACCTTTGGGATACAGCAAAAGCAATGCATGGAGGGAAATTTATAGGAATAAATATACATATCCTAAAAGAAGAAAGAACCAATGTTAACACAAAGCGTTCAACAATTTGAAAAAGATCAGCAAGGTAAGCTTACATCCATTGAGAGAAAAATAATACACACTCGTTGTTGTTTTTGTTAAGTGCCGTGGAGTAGGTTGCGACTCATAGAGACCTGGTGTACAGTTTCCAAGGAGCAACTGGTGAGTTTGAACCACTGACCTTGCAGTTCAAATGGCTTTGCAGTCTGGCGCCTTAACCCACAGTGTCACAAATAAAGACTAGAGCAGAAATGAATTAGGAAACAGAAAAAAACAATAGAAAGAATCAACAAGACAAGAATCTGGCTCTTTGAAAGGACTCATAAAATTGACAAACTAATGACAAATCTAACAAATGAAAATAGGGAGAAGATGCAAATAACATGCATAGCAAATTATACAAGTGATGTCACAACAGAACCAATGGAAATATAGAGGATAATGACAGAATACTATAAAGATTTGTACTTCAGTAAATCTCTAAATCTGGAAGAAGTGGATAGATTTTTAGAAAAACACAACCTATCTAAACTAACACAGACTAAAGTAGAAAACTTGAACAGACCTATAACAAAATAAGAAATTGATAAGGTCATTAAAAAACTACCAACAATATAACCAGGCCCAGGTAGCTGGCTTTACTGGTGAATTTTACCAAACATTCAGAGAAGAATTGACACCAATTTTACTAAAATTATTATAAAACAAAGAAAAGGAGGGAAAACTCCCCAATACATTTTGTGAAGTGAGCATAACCCACGTACAAAACCAGGCAAGAACATCACTAAAAAGCAAATTATAGACCAATATCCCTCACAAATATAGATGCAAAAATTCTCAACAAAATCCTAGCCAATAGAATTCAACAACACATCACAAAAAGAACACAACATGACAAAGTGGGATTTATACCAGGGATTCAGGGATGGTGCTATACTAGAAAAACAATCGACATAATCTACCATATAAATAAAAAATGGAAAAGAATCACATGATCATATTGAGTGATTCAGAAAAGGCATTTGACAAACTCCAACATCCATTCCTGATAAAAATACTCAACATAGTAGGAATTGAAGGGAAATTCCTCAAATAATTAAGAGCATATATACAAAACCAACAGCCAACATCACTCTCAATGGAGAGAAACTGAAAAACTTCCCTTGGTGAACAGAAACCAGACAAGGATGCCCTTTATCACCATTCCTAGTCAATATTATGTTGAAAGGCTTAGCCAGAGCTGTAAGGCAAGAAAGAGAAACTAAAGGCATCTAAATTGGCAAAGAAGAAATAAAACTCTCTGTTTGCAAATTATATGAACCTGCAAGGTCGGCAGTTCAAGCTCACTAGCTGCTCCTTGGGAACCCTATATAGGGCTGGAACTGACTCAATGGCACTTAACAACAACAACAACATACATACATAGAAAGGCATCCTGGTGTGGCACTGTGGGTTAATGTGCCAGACTGCAAAGCTGTTTAAAGTGCTATTGAGTTTAAGTGCCATTGAGTCAAGCTCACCAGCATCTCCTTGGAAACTATACAGGGTCACTATGGTGCAATTTAATAGGCACATGCTGAGCCTTTGTGAGTACAAGGCATTAGGGAAAGGACATGGAGATAAGATGTAATTCCTCCTTTCATTGTTGTTGTTATGTACCCTGGAGTCATAGAGACTCTGTATAGGGTTTCCAAGGCTGTAAATCTTTATGGGAGCAGAAAAGCCTCATCTTTCTTCCATGGAACAGCTGGTAGTTTTGAACTGCTGACCTTGTGGTTCGCAGCCCGATTTGTAACCACTACGCTATCAGAGCTCCTTTCATTACATCCATATAAATAGCATGTTATGGAACATAATAAGTCATATATTATCTCAGTCTAATCACATTTCAGCCTAAGATGGCACAACCTGGTATTGATATTAATATCACTATCCCTGCTTCCTTCATGTTTAGGGCTGAAGGAAGATTTTAGGTATGCTAATGAATAGAGCTGGTGATAAAATGAAGGAAGATTACCACTTTCCTTCAAAGTAGGAGTGGATGATGCCATCCTCTTAGCAAGCATGGGGATAGTTTTTAGTATTTTCAGGAAATAGTGACAAATAAAATTCATCAGACTACTTACAAACCAAAACAAAACAACAAACATAAGGCCAGTTGCTTGTCTGGAAATATGAGTTTCATTTTTATTTTTTAAATTACCTTATTTCTTCCAAATGATCTACAGCAGATATTAATTATGTAATAAAAATAATATGTTGATATTTGTTCTAATTTAAATACGCAGTTAAATTATTTACCACAGAGAGAAGTTCCAGCTCACAGCCAGAATGGAGAGAAAAGTGTTCCTCCTTTGACTTTAACTTTCTTGATAACACAGCTAGAAGCAGCACTGAAGAACATGCAAGCTACTGATTACACTGTAAGTACTTGCTTTTTGAAATTTTGAAGTCATGGAGTTGGACCATAGTTCTCAATGAGAGAATAGCCATTGTTTGCTTACATTGAGATACAGGCAATTTATATTTTCTTCTTTTACCTTTAAAGAGAAGGAAATGGACAGTTTCCTTACTATGTATCACACTTATGTGACAGCATCTTTGTAGTAAGTAAGTCTCTTCTAGTCTCCGTTTCTACAAGAAATATTTCCATCCTATGTACAGAGAAACTTGATTTAGTATAGCAATTGTTTTTGTTGTTAAGTGCCTTTGAGTAATTCCAACTCATAGTGGCCCTTGTAGGGTTTCTGAGGAATGGTTGGTGAGTTTGAACCACTGGCATTGCGGTTCAAATCGACCTTGTGGTTTAGTGCATATTCTACATGGTCACACACCACCCTGAAGGAGGCATTCTATAGAAATGGGTAGAGTCAAAAGAGAGCACAAAGAAAAGGGAGTTTGGAATCCTTAGAACTTCTGGCATGCTGCATTCTGTTACTTCTCCCAGGGCTTTAACAGATCCCGATTCCTTAGCTTTTTTGATGTAGACATTACTTTAAAGATGAGTCTTAGACTAGGAAATGGAAGTGTTCTCGTTCTTGTTAGCAATTGTGAGCAGATTTAGAATTGTCACGAAAACAGCCTACTATGTATCCAGGTGTCTCTACCATTTTATTAAGGCCACATGGGAATGTGAGACAAAGGAGCAGGAGGTGGGGAATTGTCAGTGACATCTCTATATCCATTTGGCTCTATTACTTAGCATAATCTCTGCTAATGATGGGGAGAGAGAGCAAGGAAAGAGCAGATTTTAGGCTAGAAATGTACTGCTTATACCTTCAAAATTCCTGAGCTCATTGCATTCTAATTCTAATTATAGTAATGTTACCATGTGTGTATCTTACTCTAGTCTCAGAATCTTTTTATTTAGAATTGAGTAAGCCAAAGATTCTGTTGTATTATTTATCAAGTTAGATTTTTAAAAGTTACAAAATAATAACCAAAAACAACAACAACAAAAATTCCACTGCCATTGGTTCATTCCAACTCAGAACATCTCAAAAGGACATACTAAAACTGCTCTTTATGGTTTCTGAGACTGTAAATATTTATGAGGGCAGAAAACCTCATCTTATTCATATGGAGTGGCTGGTGGGTTTGAAGAGTTGACCTTACAGTTTTTGCCAATGCTTAACCCACTGCACTACCAGTGCTCCTCACAAAGTAATGTTGTTGTTGTTAAGTGCCATCATGTTGGTTCTGACCCCATAGTGACCCTGTATAGGGTTTCCAAGGAGCAGCTGGTGAGCTTGAACCACCAAACTTGCAGTTCAAATGACTTTACAGACCAACATATTACCCCAAAGCGCCACACCAATTATTCAGTATTTTTGACCTAATAAGCACTGTTTTAGGCACTTTGTAAGTATTTTCAAAGCATGCTAGTATTATTTATGGAGTCCTGGTATAGTGTTGTATATAACTAATGCACAGCTCACCACAAGATTAGCAGTTGAAACCCACCAGTCACTCTCAGAAGCCATGTAAAGGGTTGCTAAGAGTTGGAACCCATTTGCCAGCATACAACAACAGTAGTATTATATTATGGGTCCTGGTATGGCACTGTAGGATAAGCACTGTACGGCTAATGGAAAGATTGGCAATTCAAACACACCAGCCCTTCTGAGAAACTCTTCTCAGCGTTGCTATGAATCAGAACCAACTCCACGGCCCACAACAGTAAGTATTGTAGGAATTTTAAGATGAAAAACAATGAGATATTACAGGGAGTTTGTGTTGGTAAACTAACTTAGCCCATGGAAAACAAACACATAAGTTTATCTTCACTGGATAATGCTAGTCAATTATAAATATACACTGTTTAGGCTTAAAAAGTGTTATAGGTAAGAGAATAGAGTAAGATCAATGTAAAAATAAATTTCATGGTAGCGTAGTGGTTAAGAATTGGGCTGCTAATCTCACGGTCAGCAGTTCGAAACTACCAGCTGTTGTGCGGGAGAGGTGAGGCTTTCTGCTCCTGTAAAGATTTACAGCCTCTGAAACCCTGTACAGGGTCTCTATGAGTAGGAACCGATTCCATGGGAAATAACAACAACATAGATGTTTTAGAGTCCTGGTGTGTGGCACTGTGTGTTAATGTGCTGGACTGCAAGGTCAGCTTGAACCATGCAGTTGTCTGTTCAAGCTCATCAGCCACTCCTTGGAAACCCTATATAGGGTTGCTATGAGTTGTAAACGACTTGACAGCACTTAACAAAAGCAACATAAATGTTTAGAATCCTGGTGTGGCTAGGATAAGCACTCAATCACAAGGTTGGTTTGAACTGCAAGATCGCAGTTCAGACTTACCAGCTAGGGTCTCTATGGGTTAGAACCAACTTGACGGCACTTAACAACAACACAGTTGTTTAAGGTGCTCTGGCAGTGTAGTGGGTTATGAATTGTGCTGCTAACTGCAAGGCCTTCAGTTCAAATTTACCAGCTTCTTTGCAGGAGAAAGATTAGGCTTTTCTATAAAGATTTACAGCTTCAGAAATCCAATACAGGGTAGCTATGAGTCAGAACCAATGACACAACACATAGCCTCCACCGCCACCCCCAAAGGTGCTTATTATTCTTATATGCCTGAGAGAATATCAATGAAAAACATTAATGTGGCAAAAAGTGTGACTGTGAACAGAATGGGAAATAATTTTCTCCGTAGACTTTTTAAAAAAAAAAAATTTATATTTTGAGATATAGATTCAAAGGATGTTGCAAAAATAATGGAGGATTTGTGTACCTGTCACCCAGTTTCCCCCAATCGTTATGTATTACTTAATTGAAGTACAATACCGAAAACTAGGAAATTGACATTGGTACATTGGGGGTGTTTAGGGATTTCCTAAAACCAGCCTTATGTTCAGAGACATAGGATACATAAGTAAAATTTTGCTGAAGATAGTCCAAAAATGGTTGCAACAGTGTATCAACAGGTAACTGCTAGAAATTCAAGCAGATTTAGAGAGGACAGGGAGCAAGGGATATCATTGCTGATGTCAGGTGAATCTTGGCTGAAAGTAGAGAGTATCAGAAGTTTACTTGTATTTGTTTGACTATGCAAAGGTTTTCAACTTTGTGGGTCATGACAAATGATGGATAACATTGCGAAGAATGAGTATTGTAGACCACTTAATTGTGCTCATGGGAAGCCTGTACATAGATCCTGCAGTTGTTATAATAGAGCGAGGGGATACTGAAGGGTTTAAAATCAGGAAAGGTGTACACCAGGGTTGTATAATATCACCATACTTATTCAATTTGTATGCTAAACAAATAACCAGAGAAAGTGGATTATATTAAGAACATTACATCGGGATTGGAGAAAGACTCATTAACAGTCTGTGATGCAGGTGATGCAGTCTTGCTTCCTGAAAGTGAAGAGGACTGATAAAGATCAAAGACTACAGCTCTCTGTATGGATTGCACCTCAATGTAAAGAAAACAAAAAGATACTCACAGTTGGACCAATAGATAATATCATGATAAATGGTGAATAGACTGAAGTTGTCAAAGACTTCATTTTGTTTGGATCCACAATCAACACTCATGGAAACAGCAGTCAAGAAATCAAAGAACATATCATATTAAGCAAACCTGCTTCACAAGACTTCTTTAAAGTGTTCAAGAACTAAGATACCAGTTTGAGAACTAAGGTGAACCTAACCCAAGTTAGGGTATTCTCAATAGCCTCATATGCAAAGTTGGATAATAAATCAGGAAAATGGTGGGAGAATTGATGTATGCGAAGTATGGTGATGGAGAAAAAATACTGAAAGTAGCGTGGACTGCCAAAAGAACAACAAAATCTGTGTTGGAAGAAGTACAGTCAGGATGCTCCTTAGAATCCAGGATGGAGAGACTTAATCTTTCATGCTTCAGACATTATCTGGAGGGACCAGTACCTGAAGAAGGACATCATGCTTGATAAAGTGAAAAAGAGTAAAACCCTCCAATGAAATGGACTGGCATAATGGCAGCAGCATTGGACTCAAACATTTACAACAATTATGAGGATGGTTCAGGATCAGGCTCTATTTTGATCTATCATCAGTCAGAGGTGTCTAACAAAAACAACAGAGGGCTTAGTGTATAGTTTTATTCATGGCTAAGATTTGTCAGTTTGTCATACTGTGGTGACTTGTGAGTTGCTGTGATTCTGGAAGCTATGCAATGGGTATTTTAAATATAAGCAGGTCACCCATGGTGGACAGGTTTCACATGAGCTTTCAGGTGAAGACAGACTAGGAAGGAGTGACTAACTATTTCTGATTATTTAGTCACTGAAAACCTTATGAACAGCAGAGAAACAGTCGGATATAGTGCCGGAAAATGTGCACTTCAGATTGGAAGGCACTCAAAATGCGACTGCGGAAGAGCTGCCTCCTTAAAATAGAGTTGGTCATGATGACATGAATGGAATACAGCCTGTGGGAGTGAAGCCCGTATGACCTTCATTTGCTGATGGGGCACAACTCAAAAAGAAGAGAAACAGCTGTAAACATCCATTAATAATCGGAACATGGTATGTACAAAGCATGAATCTAGGAAAATTGGAAATTGTCAAAAATGAAATGGAACGATATCTTAAGCATTAGTGAGCTGAAATGGACTGGTCCATCCAAAAACCAAGATTTTTAAATCTGACAGCCACATGGTTTACTATGCTGGGAATGACAAATTGAAGAGGAATGGTGTTGCATTCATTATCAAAAAGAACATATCCAGATCAGTAATGAGATACAATGCTGTCTGTGATAGGATAATATCCATGTGCCTACAGGGAAGACCAGTTAACTAATGCCAGTATTATTCAAATTTACAGACCAACCACTAAAGCCAGTGAGGATGAAATAGAATTCTACCAACTTCTTCAATCTGAAATTGATCAAACATGCAATCAAGATGTATTAATCATTACTGGTGATTGGAATGCAAAGGTTGGGAACAAAGAGGAAGAATCTGTAGTTGGAAAATATGGCCTTGGTGATAGAAATGATGCTGGAGATCACATGATAGAATTCTGCAAAATTGATAATTTGTTCATTTCAAATACCTTCTTTAGACAGCATAAGAAATGATTATACACATGCACCTCACCAGATGGAGTACACAGATATCAAATTGACTACATCTGTGGAAAGAGACGATGGAAAAGGTCTATATCATCAGTCAAAACAAGGCCAGGGGCAAACTATGGAACAGACCATCAATTTATCATATGCAAATTCACACTGAAGCTGAAGAAAATGAAAACAAGTTCATGATAGCCAACATATGACCTTGAATATATCACACCTGAATTTAGAGATCATCTGAAGAACAGATTTGATACATTAAACAGTACAGACTAAAGACCAAAAGAGTTGTGGGATAACATCTAGAATGTCATACAGGAAGTAAGCAAAAAGTCATTAAGAAGACAAGAAAGAAAGAAAAGATCAAAATGGATGTCAGAGGAGACACTGAAACTTGCTCTTCATTGTAGAGATTCTAAAGCAAATGGAAGAAACGAGGAGGTAAAAGAGCTGAACAGAAAATTTCAAAGATCAGCTTGAGAAGATAAAGCCAAATATTACAACAAAATGTGCAAAGATCCGGAGTCAGAAAACCAAAAAGGAAGAACATGCTCAACATTTCACAAGCTGGGGGAATTGAAGCAAAAATTCAAGCTTCAACTTTTGTTATTGAAGGATTCTCTGGGCAAATGATTGAATGATGCAGAAAGCATCAAAAGAAGATGGAAGGAATGAACAGAGTCACTGTACCAAAAGGAAATGGTTGATGTTCACCTGTTTCAAGGGGAGCATATGATCAAGAGCCGGTGATACTGAAGGAAGAAGTCCGAGATGCATTGAAGGAACTGGAAAAGAACAAGGCACCAGGAATTGATGGAATAAAAATTGAAATCTTTCAAGAAAGTGAGACAGCACTGGAGGCACTCACTCATCTATGCCAAGAAATTTGGAAGACAACTAATTGGCTGACTGGAAGAGATCTGTATGTGTGCCCATTCCAAAGAGAGATGAACCAACGGAATGCAGAAATCAAGTATCTTTGATATCCCATACGAGTAAAGTTTTACTAAAGATAATACAGAAATGGCTGCAAGCATACATTGAGAACTTCCAGAGGTTCAAGCTGGATTCAGAAGAGGACATGGAATGAAGAATATCATTGCTGATGTCCAGTGGATCTTGGCTGAAAGCAGAGAATATCAGAAAGATGTTTACCTGTGCTTTATTGACTACGCGAGGCTTTTGATTGTGTGGATCATGATAAGCTATGGACAACATTGTGAAGTATGAGTATTCCATAACACTTAATTGTGTTCATGAGGAATCTACATGCACCAAGAGGTAGTTGTTTGAAAAGAACATGGGAACACTGAATGATTTAAAATTAAGAAAGATGTGTGATAGGGTTAGATTCTTTCACCAGACCTAATTCAACCTGTATGCTGAGCAAATAATCCGAGAAGCTGGGTTATATGAAGAAACACGTGACATCAGGATTGCAGGAAGAATCATTAACAATCTGTGATATACTGATGATACATCCTTGCTTGCTGAAAGCAAAGAGGACTTAAAATATTTACTAAAAATATTTACGTAAATATTTTATGTAGCATATTATTTGTCTGCTATGAATCTGACTTTATTTTAGCAAAATAAAGATCACAGCCTTAGGTATGGATTACATCTCAATGTAAAGAAAACAAAATCCTCACTATTGAACCAATAAACAACATACTTATCAACAGAGACAAGATTGAAGTTGTCAAGGACTTCATTCTTCTTGGATCAACTATCAACCCTCATGGAAGCAGCTGTCAAGAAATCAAATGACATATTGCATTAGGCAAATCTGCTGCACAAGACCTTTTTAAAGAGCAAAGATGTCATCAGCTTGAGGACTTAGATGCGCCTGACCCAAGCCATGCTATTTTCAATAACCTCATATGCATGCGAAAGTTGGACAGTGAATAAGGAAGACCATAGAAGAATTGATGATTTTGAGTTGTGGTGCTGGAAGAGAATATTGAAAGTGCCATGGGCTGCCAAAAGAATCAACAGATCTGTGTTGGAAGAAGTGCATCCAGAGTGTTCCTTGGAAGCCAGAATGGCTAAACTTCATCTCTCATACTTCAGACATATTGCCAGAAGGGACCAGTCACTGGAAAAGATACCATGTTTGGTAAAGTGGAGGGTAAGCGAAAAAGAGGAAGACCCCCAACGAGATGGATTGGCACAATGGTGGCAATGATGGGCTCATTCTTAGCAATGCTTGTGAGGTTGCCCCGTACCGGGTAGTGTTTCATTCTGTTGTGCATAGGGTCCCTATGAGTCGGTACTGATTTGATGTCACCTAACAACAACAACAAGAACAACTCCTTTATAGTCATCATTATCCTTCTGCCTCCATACCCTATTTCCTAGTGTGTTCTCCATCTCCAATGTTGCATAGATGATTTTTAAATACAGGAAATAACCATGTTTTAATTTTACATTAATGGGCAGATAAACTTTTGATTATACTATTAAAACAAAGCCCACATGTGGAGAGTAAAAGATTTTGAATTAAGAAGTAACTATTTTTTTAAAACCAGGTGGTGGATACTTGAGCATTCATTGTATTTTTATCTAAAGTGTTATTGGAGTTGTGGTGTGGTGCTCTAGGATAAGCACACTGGAATATGAACTGGAAGGTCAGCAGTTCAAACCCAACAGTTACTCCTTAGAAACCCTAGATCTTAGCAACAACAACAACAAAGTATTTTTGATATTTAAAATATCTGTAATAGAGAATGATATATTTTTGAAAGGTTTAATGATAGCCTTCAAATTATGATGGCATTTCCTTTTGTTAAATTCTAGTGTTTCGTTTTAAGATTAGTGACTATGCTTTTTCTCCTTCCTACGTCAAAATGTGAGATCCATCTAAGATGCAGTCTCTAGTTATTCTTGTTGTTGTTGTTATGTGCTGTGGAGTCGGTTCTAACCCACAGCGACCCTGTACAGGGTTTCTGAGGCTGTAAGTCTTTACGGGAGCAGAACGCCTCATCTTTCTCCCATGGAACAGCTGGTAATTTTGAACTGCTGACCTTAAGGTATGCAGCCCGATTCGTAACCACTACTCTACCATAATTGATAAAATGATGGAAAGTTATTATTATATTTTTAAAGTAATTATTAAATTATCATTGTGGTTAAGTGCCTTCCAGTCCTTTCGGACTCATATCCACCTTATATAGGGTTTCAGATGTGCTGCTGGTGGATTTCAGCTGACACTCTGAGGTTCAAATTGACCTGGCAGTTTAGTGCTTATCCTACAATGTCACATCAGGATATTTAATTAAGCTTGCTATACTGAAACATAGCCTAATCTACATAAGCAATTTAATTTTTTTTTTCTTTTTAGACATACCAGATTAATATTGGTTATTATTTGACATTACTATTTTTGTATGCAGTAGCACTTACTGAAAGAGGGAAAAAAGAGGTATGTAGCATATTATTTGTCTGTTATAAATCTGACTTTATTTTAGCAAATTAAAATTTTGAAATTCTCTAAAAACTGAACTTATTCATTGACTTTTCTGTCATACATTTCTGACTTTAGGAATTAAGCCAAATATTTTAATGTCAAACTGATAATATATAATAGGAAACTGGTAATACTACTTTAAAACATCAGTTATTTTAAGTTTATCTTTTAAATGCTATTAATTAAATACAAAATTATTTAGCTTTTTCACTCAGACATTACGTTTTAATGCATTTCAACTTAATCTAATCCTTTTTTAAAAATAGAAATGTTATCTCAAATTCTTTGTGGAATAAGCTGAAGTATAAATAATTATGTACCTGGGAGTTAACTAAATGATTTCTAAATTCATTTTCAAATGTAATGTTCTCTTTTATTAGTTTTCAATGATTTCTTATGTTTTCTTTTCAACCTTGGTATTTCTTTTACTTTTTCTCTTTACAAATTTATACTCAGGTTCTTAAATTAAATATGTAAATCTGACTTGCTAATTAGGTAAAGTAGAATTTATAAGCACCCTAAGGATAACACCATTATTATAAGTAATTTCATGTAATGATAATTATTTAGTGTGATATGCTAGTGAATTAAATTGAGATTTAAAAATAATGTCATATAGCATTTTTCCTACTTATTTTTCTAAAGGAACCAGGACTATTATGTCTGCTTTATTCATTATAACTGAAACATCTTTTACAACAGGCCCTGATCTTTGCTTCTAAGCCTATATTGTGTATAATCAATATGGTGCTACTATAAAAAGGATAATATATCTATGGTCAATAAATCACTTATTTCATGTATAAAAAATTTGGAATAATTTTACTCCAATGTAAAGAAAAATAGGAATAATTATAAAGACCTGTGCTCTAGTAGTCAGTGGAAAAACTTAATGTTGTTTAGTCATATTTTCCAGTATTAGACACAGAAATTATTATATTTTACATTTTTTATATTGAAGTATTGTTTAAAGAAGTTATTAAGTTCTTCTTTAATAAGACAGATTTGCTGGGATCCTAGCATTTAATAAATGACTAAATGACTGTATCACTCCTAAAAAATGCCCTAATTTCTCCAGGCTAGGAAATAATGTTGTTGCTACGTGCTGGGGAGTCAGTTCTGACTCACAGCGACCCTGTACAGGGTTTCCGAGGCTGTAAACCTTTACGGGAGCAGAAAGCCTCATCTTCTCCCGCGGAACAGCTTGTAGTTTCGAACTGCTGCCCCTGAGGTTCGCAGCCCGATTCGTAACCACTACTCTACCAGAGCTCCTTTAGGAAATAATAGTTTATTGCAAAAGAAGAACAAATGCCTTTCCCATTTGTCAAACTTGGATTTATGTTACTACAGGATTATTTAGAAGCTGAGAGTAAATTTCTGGTGATGAAGATAATGATTCAAGAAAATGAAATTTGTGAAAACTTTATGTCCTTAGTATATTTTGGACGTGGTTTACTTCGATGTGCTCAGAAAAGGTAAGAATTTTAATGAATTAGTAGATCTTGTCTGTCAACTTCCAGTATGAAGCAGCAGTGGGAATGAGGATTTATAGATAATCAGGGATCTGTAAAGGCTTTATGAGGCTTTACAGATATCAGGCATCTGTGTTCTATTGATTTGGTCTTTTCTTCTTCATCTTTTACTATAGGCAATAATTTCTGAATGAACTTGAGAGTATTAAATATCAAACTTATTTTCAGGCTATGGCAATGAAAGCCTGAATAGCAAAGACATTGTTGTTGTTGTTAAGTACCATTGAGTTAGTTATGACTCATAGCGACCCTGTATAAGGTTTCCAAGTAGCAGCTGGTGGGTTTGAATTACATCCTTGTGGTTAGCAGTCCAGTGCTTATTTTAGAGCACCATACCAGGATGTCTTCAGAGTTTAACAGATCTGGGTTCAAATATATTTTCTACTAGCTACCTAATCTATGTCCTTAGGAAACTTAATGTTACCATATTGTATTATATGTATACACTTTTTTGTATTGTATTTTTGATATATAAAATGTAACTAAGAATACCAGGGTGTTTCAAAAAGTTCATGAAAAAATGGAATTAAAGAATTTTTTTTACAAACTTTGTGAAGCCCCCTTGTAGTGCTTACCTTATAAGGATGATATAGTGATTATCACAGTTCCCAAGACAGACAATAATAAATGAGTGATTGACTATTAAAAGTACTATGGACTGTCAGAAGAACAAACAAATCTGTCTTGGAGGAAGTACAGCCAGAATGTTTCTTAGAAGCCATGTTGTCAGGAGGGACCAGTCCTCATATTTGGTGAAGTAGAGGGTCTGTGAAAAAGAGGGAGACCCCCAAAGAGATTGATTGACACATCACAGTAGCAATGGGCTCCAACATAACAATTGTGAGGATAGTGCAGGACTGGACAATGTTTTGTTCTGTTGTTCATAGAGTTACTATGAGTTGGAACCAACTCAATGGCACCTAACAACAATAAAAAAGTGATAGTTGTAATTATTAATACTATGATCACTAACTTAGAATAGGCTTATAAAGTGTGAATGTGTTCATAAAGAATTGAAAGTGTCTAGATGTTGAGTTTGGGGAGTATTAATGATTACATAATTTAAGAAAGTGAAATTGGGCAAGGGTCTTTTATGGATAGGACCTATATGGAGATCTTTAATCAGTTGTAGCATCGATATTCATATTATTGGCTAAACATCATATTCCAGGCATTGTTCTAGGTGTTTGGCTTAAAAAATAGATTTCATACTCTGGTAACTTACAGTATAGGGAAGCATATAGACCTTAATTCAATAATCAATCATGTAAATAATCACTTATGAAATATGAAAAGGACTATGAAGGAAAATACTGAGAACAATCATAATCTCTAATGGAGCCACAGTCTGGTTCTAGGAATCAGAAGCTTTGCCAAGGAAATAATGTTTGATTGAGATCAGTTTATTTTTGTTAATCCTATGAAAACTGCTGGTCCCTAACAATAAGTCCCTAAAAATATCACCTATGAGGCAGGTCCCTGATTATTTGTAAGGTTTATCTCTCCCATTCTCTGACATGTACGGTTTTTCCTAGAGTATCCAGAGGACTTCGTATTTCCTGCTCAATAGGTCTGATTCACATGATGGGTCAGTGTCATGCCTTGTTAAATATCAAGCTGATAAAATCCCCTTCAATCTATATTGAGATAAAGTAGGAGAATTAACATAGCCTTCATCAAGTCAGGACTCACTGGACAGTGCATACAGTTAACTTGCTTGGCTGCTAATCAAGAGGTTAGAGGATCAGGTACATCCAGAGGCACTTTGTAAGAAAATCCTGTTGAACTATTTCTGAAAAATAAGCTATTGAAGACCCTATAGAGTACAGTTCTAATCTAATACACATAAGGTCACCATGAATCAGAATCAACTCTCAAAGTCAATTGGGTTTATAATAAGACAAAGAATATATAGTGCTGTCCCTCCTTGATGTGCCTTGAAAATAATGCATTTTCCAGATTATTGACACTAGAAATCTGTGCTCAGGAAAGGTAAGTTATATGGCAACATCTTTAGTTTTATCCCTGGCTTACTGAAGGCAGTCATTATTGAGCTTCTCAAGGACAGGGGTGGCCTCTTTCCCACTGTGTCCTTATTATATTCACAAATGGAGTATCCTCTGGACCTTTCAAGGGAGCATAGGAGTGTGGTGGGTTCTACAGTCTTATTTAATAAACCCATTCTAACATTCTCATCTCTATGAGCCTTTGGACCCCTTTAATAATCTAGAAAGAAATTTCCACCTCACTTACTGTTAGTCATTGATGTATTGAAGTTTCAAGAAGCATCTCAGCAGCTACTTAAGACTTAGTATCTCAGGTGTCCTTGCTACGAAAATTTCTAGGGAAATGCAAAACAGTTGTCATATATCAGTAAACATTTCCCTGTTCAGCCTTATATTTATCCATTGGTTTGTTGTTGTTTTTGTTAGGTGCCATCGAGTCGGTACCGACACATAGTGACCATATGCACAGAACGAAACACTGCCTGATCCTTGGCCAACCTCACTACTGTTGCCACGCTTGAGTCCATCGATGCTGCCACTTGGCCAATACATCTCATTGGGGGGTCTTTCTCTTTTTCTCTGACCCTCTTATCATATGGCTGAGCCCTGGTAGCACAGTGGTTAAGTGTTCAACTGTTAACTGAAAGGTCAATGGTTTGAGCCCACCAGCCACTTTGTGGGAGAAATATGTGGCAGCTCTGGGGTGCTATGAGTCAGAATTGACTTGATAGGAATGGATTTGGTTGGTGTCTAATTGATTAACTCATTCCAGTTCTATTCAAGCTAACCTTATTTTAAAAATTCCTTCTAGATATAATGGAGGACTGCTAGAGTTTCATAAAAGTTTACATGAAATAGAAGATTCAAATGATTATTGGTTTGACATAGATCCTACAGAAGATGATGATTTACCTACAACTTTTAAAGTAAGAAATTAAGAATAATATATTTTCAGGGTTTTTCATTTGGAATTAATCAGAGTCATCTTTTATAATGTTTATATCAACTTACATTCTATAGCAAGCAAATTCTTTTATGAGAAATTAGTTTTTCTTTAATAAGAAACAATCTTGATTGCATTATATAGTGCAAAATGTGTGATTCAACAAATAGAGAAGTCAGGTAGCTGTGTGCATTTCCAAATAACAAGAAGGTTAATAATAGTACTATCCCAGTACTAACAGAGCAAAATGTTAGTACTTAACATCTTTTTAATAACTATATTTATCATTATTCCTGTTGTTCACTTAAATTACCAAAGTAATAAATGCTTAGTTCAAGAAAATTAAAAAATCTAAAAATGTTCTAAGATTAAAAATAAATTCATCCATATTTCCATAAATGGAGAAACCATTTTTAACATGTTCATTTATGTCTTTCTAGAGAGGTATACTTTTTATTTTGATTAAAAGGCTTGGTGCTCTACACACTGATTTATAATTTGGAAATACATTGCATTGTGATTTTCTCAATATTTGTGTGCCCCCAAAATATGTTTTGTAAATTCCAAGTCCCTATACCATGAATGTAATTTCATTTAGAAATAGACCTTTGTTATATAGTGATAACATATCAGTGTAGGGTTTGTCTAAAACCAGTTATCTTTCGGATATAACAAGGGCAGATTAGGCAAGAAAAGGAAGCGCAAAGAGAGTGGACAGTACAGATGAAGATTACCAAGGAACCAAAGACTAGAAGCTGTAAAGGAGCAAAGACCTTCCCTCAGAGCCTACAGAGAAAGTCTTCCCCTAGAGCCAGTGCCCTGAGTGTGGACTTCTAGCTTCATAACTGTGAGACAATACATTTCTGTTTGCTAAAGCCACCTATGGAGATAATGCACTCGTTAGACCAAGCAAGCACATGAGCTCAAAAGGACAGCATTTGTCCAGGTATAAGCACAGAAGGCTGGAAAGGATAGGAAAGAAGGATGGACTGAAACGATAAAGCACATGGGAGTAGTGAGAAAGGTACTATGACATTGTTAAAAGGAGTGCATGTCTTCATGGCATTCTTGTTCACCTTATAGACCTGTCTACTGTTTGGCTGAACGTTGAGCCATGGGGTGAGTTCAGTTCCAGGTTTGAAGGCTGACTAGGGGCCATAGTATTAGGGGTTTCACCTGTTCCTATCAGACCAGTAAACACATTTTTGTTTTTGTTTCTATGATTTTGAGTTTTGTTCCACATTTTTTTCGACTCTGTCCAGGAGCTTCTACTATGATCTCTTTCAGAGCGGTCAGTAGTGGAGCTGGGCACCATCTAGTTCTTCAGGTGTCAGGATCATGGAGGTTGGGGCTTGCATGGTCTATTAGTCCACTGGACTAATTGTTTGTATGTGTTTGGTTTGCTTTACTCTCTTTACTCTGTACAGGTAGGGACCAAAAGTTGCACCTTAGATGATTTCGTACAAGACTACTAAAGTGGTGGTGTGCTGTGAGTTGGTTCTGATTCATAGTGACCCTGCATAGTGTTTTGAGGCTGTAACTCTTTATGTGAGCAGAAAGCCTCATCTTTCTCCGGAGGAATAGCTGGTAGTTTCGAACTGCTGAACTTGAGGTTAACAACTTGACTCGTAACCACTTTGCTACCAAAACTGTGAAACATTGTCTTTGTGGATTATGTTGTGTCAGTTGACCTTGATGTACATGAGTCTGTGGTACTAAACCCCTAGAGCTAGTCACTCAAGGTTTTTAGTTATGGCTAAGAAGTTTTCATAGCTTTGTCCCCTGTGTACTCTACAATAGTCACAAATATATTTACCCCACATATAAATACATATATAGAGATATCCATTGTCAAATCTCTGTATATGGCTCTGTAGGATAAGCACCGGACTATAAATCATAAGGTCAGTATTCCAGACTACCAGCCATTTTTTTCTGCAGGAGAAAGATGGGACTTTCTGTTCTCACAAAGAATTTATAGCTTCAGAAATCATATATGGGGATGCTATGAGTCGTAACTGACTAGATGGCTCTTAACAACAACAACAATCCCATTGTCTTTCCACATTTGTTCAGCTTGCATGTCTATTTATGTAGAGCAAACAGATTTTCAATTGAATATTTTAAATACACAATTTTTAAGTAAGCAGTCACATCATCTTAAACTATGATGATATTTTCACTTGTCTTATTATTGTGCTTATTCCTTATTATATATAATATATTTATTTAATTTTTTTGTTGGTAATATTTAAGATCTTCATCTCCTCTGATTTCAATATTAACTTCTTCATACTTATGATTTTGGCTTTTTATTCAAAACAGATTATCTTTATCATGTTGTTTTTTCAAAAAAGGCTACACAGTGGCTCTGTAGGATAAGCTCTGGACTGTGGACAACACAGTCTATAGTTTGAACACATCAGCCACTCTGAGGCTTTCTACTCCCATAAAGAATTATATCCTCAGAAACCCTACACAGAGTTGCTATGAGTCGGTTCCAACTTTATGGTACTTAACAACAACAGTAAATGGATGTTGAGTTTATTTTCAGGACGTTGAGTTTATTTTCAGAAAGTAAAGATTGGATGTTGTAATTTCTAGGATAATCACTAAAAATATAGTAAAAGAAAGCATACCTCCAAACTAAAGAAGGAGCAAAATAGAATAATTAGAAATAATGAACTCAAAACAAGGTAACAGAGAAAATGAAACATAGAATTGGCAGTATAATGTGAAAGCCAATTGTAAAAATTAGATTTAAATTCAAATATAACAATGTTATTTTTGTTAAGTGCTGTCAAGTCAATTATGACCCATAACGAACCTATATAGGGTTTCCAAGGAGCAGCTGGTAGGCTTGAACCACCGACCTTGCAGTTCAAACAATTTTACAGTCTGATGCACTAGCCAACAGCGCCACAACCAGGACTCTGAAATATAAAAATAGTAATGTTACAACTAACTATACTATATACCCTAAAAAAAGACAATATAAAGTTTTTTTATGGGTAAAATTAAAATAACAATCACACACATATATATTATTTACAAAAGACAGCTGAAATGTGAGGCTCCTATAAGGCTTAACATAAATGTTTGGAAAAAATGTCATTCAACCAGATACCTCGTGTAAGGTAAGTCAAAAAGTATTGTTACTAGGATCCCAGTTAATACATGTATGAACTTATTCCAAACAAAATGTATTTAAACATATTTCTGCATCAGGGTATGCTGCAGACAAGTTCTCTCAGTAATATACCTTTCTTAGTCTTGTTAGGGTGCCTACAAAAGGACATTGGCTTCTGAGGGAATCTGCTTCTTGTTGTTGTTAAGTGCCGTCAAGTTGGTTCTGACTCATAGTGACCCTGGGTATTGTTTCTGAGGAGCAGCTGGTGAGTTGAACCATCAACTTGCAGTTCAAACTGACCTTGCGGTTAGTGCTTATCCTATAGTGCCACACATTCAAGGGAATCTGCTGAGCCAGTTAAATTTAAGGCAGAGAGCTAGCTTAGAGGTTTTTTGTCACCATTTGGCAGGATTCCAAAAGGTTAATCTTAATAGATTCTCTTGAAGGACACAGACAATCAAGAGACTTACTTTGAAGAAATGTTAAGAACATTGAAAACAGCATTGTTGAGAAAAAGGACAGGAAACTTGTATCAATGAATTTTTTTCTGTCATGACAAAGCGCTTGCTTAATCTTTAATGGTGTTGGTGTTGGTAGGTGCTATTGAGTCAGTACTGACACATAGCAACCCTGTGCACAACAGAAGCAAATATTGCTGGCTCTGCTCTAACCTCACAATCATTGATACGTTGGTGCCCATCACTGCTGCCCCTGTGCCAATCCATCTTGTTGGGTGTCTTCCTGTTTTTCTCTGACCCTTCACTTTACCAAACATGATATCCTTCACCAGAGACTGGTCCCTCCTGATATGTCTGAAGCACAAGAGATGAAGTCTGCCCATTTTGGCTTCCAAGGAGCATTCTGGCTGTCCTTCTAATACAGATTGGTTTATTCTTTTGGTAGTCCATAGTACTTTTAGTATTCTCCTCTAACACCATAACTCAAATGCATCAATTCTTCTTCTGTCTTCCTTACTCACTGTACAACTTTTGTATGTATATGAGGTTACTGAAAATACCGTAATCCTCAAACAATCTTTGGTATGGATTGCATTTCAACATAAAGAAAACAAAAATCCTCAACACTGGACCAATAAGTAACATCCATATAAATGGAGAAAGGATTGAAGTTGTCAAAGACTTTATTTTGCTCAGATTGTCTATCAACACTTATGGAAGCAACAGTCAAGGAATTCTTTAGCTGTGGTGGTAGTGGTTATATGCCGTGGAATCGGTTCTGACTCATAGTGATCCTGCATAGGCTTTCCAAGGCTGTAAATCTTTATGACAGTAGAAAGCCTCACCTCTCTCCGGCAGAACCACTAGTAGTTTCAAACTGCTGACTCTGAGCCAGGGCTATTCTAGAATAATTTTGTTGGAGAACTGTTGTAGACCGTGTAATCTTGGTCAGAGGTTCGAGGCCCTATAGGCCCGAGTGTAACAAATGAGGCCACTGGCAGTCAATAGCAAATTGTTTTTCATCTTAGTGTTCAGTTACATGTATTTATTTAATACATGGGGCCCTTGATAATCCACAGATAAATGTGATATTTTCCTAAAAGCCCAGACCGTAAAAGTTGCAAGGTCAAGCCTTCCTCCAAAGGATTAACTAAAAACATCTTAGCTACTTCACAGTTCTTTGTTCTACAGGCAAAAAAGCCATCCTCCCAAGTGTTAGCTATTCAGCCAAGTTCCTGAAAACCTGGCTCAGGAAGCCAAAGCAGCAGGACTCCGCCCAAGCTTTTGTCCTTACCTCTCACCTTCCCCCAACTTAGCTCAGGGGCTATAGATCTGATAATTGAGCCTGAGAATCAAAGTTGCTGGCCTGGGATTCCAACCAGCGAAGTACGATGTAAAGTTACCTGAATGTCTGGAAAAGTACTGATGTTAGCTGTACCTTGCCTAAGTCCCTCCCAGCTTGGTGTGAAGCTCCTCCCCTAAATAAAACAGAGGCCTGGGCCTCCCCAGGTGTGCATTACAGGTGGGAGGGCATGCAGTAAAGATTGTAGTGCATTACAGGTTGGAGGGCATGCAGTAAAGATTGCAGTACATTACAAGATGGAGGGCATGGAGTAAAGATTGCAGGGCAGTGAGTTGCTGCCTGCAGAGGCCACGATGCCTGTAGTCCCAAGCCTGCCCACCAGTGATGCATCCACCCTGGCTTTGGGGTGCCTCGTTGTCCCCCTCTTTCTGTCTGTCTGTGTATATCTTTATTGCCGCCAGGTATCTCCTCCTCGTGAACCTAACCCCTATGTCGAGGCCAGTCCCCGACAGAGAACTTAACCCATTCTCTATACAGCCTTGAACTTACCCCTTCAGGCTACTTTTTGTTCCTGAAGGATTCAAATTGTGTTCTTTTTAAACTGTAAAAGAACATTTAAAAGGAACACAATTTGAATCCTTCAGATACTGCCGTTTTTTTATGGAATAAACTAAAAAGCACAGTGTTCTTCAGGAAGGATTAGAGAGATGGAAACACTGCCTTCAGAAATGTATAGACCTAGATGGAGGATATATCAAGAAATAATAGCTTCATATTTTCAAATTGAATTTGATGTGACGCTGTAGGATCAGCACTGGACTGTAAACCACAAGGTCGGTGGTTCAAACCAGTTGCTACTTGGAAACCTTGTATAAGGTCACTATGAGTTGGAATCGACTCCGTGGTACTTAACAACAACATGACTTTGTAGCAATTTTTTTTAACTTAACTTTATATTAAGCAAATTATATACTATTAGGCCTAAAGCAATTCTCAAAGTAAAGAGGGACATGTTATAAAAATAAAAAATTCAATTCATCAGTAAGTTGTAACTCAACATTTTAATAACATTTCAAAATATATGGGAAAGAATTGGGTCAAAGAAGAAAGAGATAAATCTCCAGTCACAGTGGAATATGTTTACATGACTCAGTTATCAGTATAATAAGAAGGCACTTTTCTTTTGGAATCTGTCAAAATGATCATATAGCTGTTTTCTTTGATTGAATAATATAATCATTATATATGTATTTTTTTAATTACTGAAGTTTTTACTTATGTAAAATAGTTTCTACTTGATATTGATGGGTTTACTCTTTTTTCACCTCCTTTAAAACTAGTTTCCTTTATTATCAAGACTTTCTTGGTGAATTATTTTTTAAAACTGGTGTTCAGCTCAAAAATAAATTTTTATTATAAGATTTTATGTAAAATAGTAGCTAGTCTGTACTCCCTTCCTGCAGTTCCTTCTTCTTTGAAGTAATTATCTCACTTCCTAGCCATTTTCTTTTGATATGCACCTTTTTTTTTTAATGTAGATTTTTTTTCAGTTTCTTCATTTTAAATAGTATCTTTTGACTTTCTAGTATCTCTGTACCTTAGGCCTGAAGATTATGTTCCATCTACATTTAATCATTATTTTAAAATAGGAAAATGCATTCCAAATTGTGACTTTGGACATTGGAGGCATTTTTTTTTTTTCTCTATTTCTTCCCAATATATCAATGAATGACATATTCTGCTACTTAGTAATACCACAGCCAACATGGTGTCCTGGGAGTCAGTCCCAGGAAAGAGTCTCCTAGAACCCAGTGATTTGTTAAATCTCTTTAATCAGAACAGGTCATTCTTGATAGGAATCTGCCAGGTATTATGATTATTATGGATTAGTATAGGAAAAAGAAAGTTTCAAACATAGATTTCTCTCATTCACATTTTTGTTCAGTTGTTATTTTATTGTTGTTGTTATGTGTCATCGAGTCTGTTCTGACCCATAGTGACCCTGAATGAGGTTTCTAAGGAGAGGCTGGCGAGCTTGAACCACTAACCTTGTAATTCTAACCAAGTTTGCAGTACAGCGCATTAACCCACAGTATCACATGGGTATATGATATTTCTAATTTAGGCCCTGCCTAAATTCTGGAGTCCTGGTGTGGCAATGTGGGTTAATGCGCCAGACTGCAAAGCTGTTTGAACTACAAGGTCAGTGGTTCAAGCTTACCAGGTCCTCCTTGGAAACCCTATACAAGGTCGCTATGGGTCAGAACTGACTCGACGGCTCTTCACAACAACACATTGAATAGATTGAAGTTGTCAAAGACTTTATTCTGTTTGATCAACCATCAACATTTATGGAAACAGTAGTCAAGAAATTGAACTACGTATTGCATTAGGCAAATCTTCTGCACAAGACCTCTTTAAAGTGTTGAAGAGTAAAGATGTCAGTATGAGGACTAAAGTGCACTTAACCAAAGCCATGGTATTTTCAATAACCTCATATGCATGTGAAAGCTGGACAGTGAGTAAGGAAGACTGTAGAAGAATTGATGTATTTGAGCTGTGGTGGTGGTGGAGAGTATTAAAAGTACCATGGACTGCCAAAAGAACAAACAAATCTGTGTTGGAAGAAGTGCAACCAGAGTGCTCCTTAGAATCCAGGATGGCCAGACTTGTCTCTCCTACTTGTGACATGTTATTAGGAGGGACCAGTCCCTGGAGAAGGATATAATATTTGGTAAAGTGGAGGGTCAAAGAAAAAAAGAAAGACCCCAACAAAATGGATTAGTACAGCGGCAGCAGCAATGGACTCAGGTTAGCAATGATTGTGAGGTTGGCACGGGTCCAGGCAGTGTTTTGTTCTGTTGTGCACAGGGTCACTATGAGTCAGTGCCGAGTTGATGGCACCTAACAACAACAACATACATTGTTCGGAGTCTTCGTGTGGCACTATAGGATAAACACACTGAACTGTTCACCACAAGGTTGGCAATTCAAATCCACCAGCTGTTCCTTGGAAACCCTATACAGTGTTGCTATGAGTCAGAAACAACTAGATGACACTTCACAACAACATTAATTTTTTGTGAGTGTGGTAGCTCTGCAGGATAAGTACTGCACTGTGAACCACAGAATCAGCAGTTCAAGCCTGCTAATCCTACCTCAGGAAAAAGATGAGGCTTTATGTTTCCAAAAAGATTTACAGCCTCAAAATCCCGTATAGGTTCACTGAATCTAAACCAACTCAGTGACACTTAACAACAATATATGTTGTTTATGTTGAATGAAGGAAATCTGTTCTATTACTATTTAAACAATATATACTTGTAAAATTTATCCTTATAAATGGAATATGACATGAACATATTATCTAAGATAAAATATTGGGAATGTTGTAGTCTTAATTTATGTTGATTCATAAAGATTTTCTCCATTTTTCAAATTTAGGATCTTCTCAGTAATTTTATCAAGACATCTGAAAGTAATATAATGAGGCAAACTATTTGCAGTTACCTAGATTGTGAGCGATCTTGTGAAGCTGACATTTTACAGAACACCAGTTATAAGGTACTGTAGTTAACAATTAGCTGAGTATTTAAATATAATTATAAAAGTAAACCGATAAATGTTACCATATTGTCATGCACTCAACTGCTGCTTAGACAGAGTATTTAGTATAATTTTAGTGGTAATACAGGTGAAGAGGAGAAGATTAAGGATACAGACTTTTTGATATAAGTATATGCGAAATATTACATCGACTCACTCAAATTATTGCCTATTTTTGTTGTTGCTGTTGTTGTTTTGGGAGGACTACATTTTCTGACTATCATAATGTAAAAAATAACTTTCACATTTTTTGGTTGTGGATAAATTATTGATGCTATGTTTCACTCATTGAGAGTTGGAATTTTTAAAAGTGACTTACGGTAATATTTTTTGTAGCTACATGAACTATATCCATCTCAACAGTTTACTTTTATTCTTTTCCAGGGATTTGTTCAGTTAATGTGCAGTAAAAGCTGCTGTATTTATTTCCATAAAATTTGTTGGAAAAGGTTCAAAAACTTAAAATATCCTGGTGAAAATGATCAGGTATTAGCTTTGCTTTTCCTTTTTATAATTTTACTACTGCATTTCTTCCTCTTTCACCCTTTTTCTCTTGCCTTTTCATTTCTTCTTATTTGCATGTTCCATCTTTCCCCTTTAAAAATTTGGTTCCTTTTTTCCCTTCCTTTTCTCAATTCTGCTCTTCTTTCCACTTTCCCATTCATTATCACCATTTATTAAACAACTCTGTGTATGGGATACTCAGCTACTTCGTTTTTGCTCAGTGATTTCCATAGATTCGTTTTCTTCTGGAAGTTTATTTCTAAGAATGGCAATATCGATGTGGATAGTAGCATGTTATTGTTAAATGCCATTGAGTCGGTTCTGATCCATAGCGACCCTGTATAGGGATTCCAAGGAGTGGCTGATGAGCTTGAGCCACTGACCTTGCAGTTCAAACAGCTTTGCAGTCTGGCACATTAACCCACAGCGCCACACCAGGACTCCAGCTAGTAGCATAAAGGAGATAAAATGAAAGAATGTTGTTTTTGTTGTTAAGTGCCATCGAGTTGGTTCCAACTCATAGAGACCTTGTATACGGTTTCCAGGGAGCAGCTGGTGGGACTGCTGACCATGCAGTTAGCAGTCCAGTGCCTATATTACAGCATCACAGCACCACACCAGAACTCCAGACAAAGAATATTGTTGCTGAGTTCTGTCAAGAGTCAGTTCTCACTCATATGGCCCTCTGTATATAGAGTTTCTGAGGAATGGCTGGTGGGTCTGAACTGCCAACCTTTTGGTAAGCAGTCCAGTAGTTATCCTACAATGCTATACTAGGACTCCAAATCAAAGAATGTTGTTGTTGTTAAGTGCCGTTGAGTCGATTCCAACCCATAGCGACCCCTGTATAGGGTTTCCAAGGAGTAGCTGGTGAGCTTGAACCACTGACCTTGCAGTTCAAATGAATTTGCAGTCTGACGCATTAGCCCACAGCACCACACCAGGGCTCCAAATCAAAGAACAGATTTGCTTAATTAATACATAGAAAGGCTAATAATATAATTTTAAGAACAAAATTTTTTAGAAGTATAGAACAATGATAAGATTTATAGTACTCAAAAAAATATATGGAATTATTTATACTTACCCAATGTCTTATAATGTGGTGCTGTGGATCAGTACTGGGCTGTGAATGACAAGGTCGGCAGTTCAAACCTACCAGCTGCTCCTTGGAAATCCTATACAGGGTCGCTATGAGTTGAAACCGACTTGATGGCACTTAATAACAACAACAAAGTCTTATAACTAAATGTAATTCTTTGCCAAAAGTAAAATGGAATCCAATGCCCAATTTTATGTTACTCTTTAGTGAGGTAGTGACATTAAATTGGGTCTATAATGTTTGGTTTTATAGTGTTACATTGTGCAAACCCTTATAAAGCAATTGTGATGTAGTAGAAACATCACTGCATTGGGAATTGGGACCTCTGAGTTCAAGTCCAATTTGAGACATTTATTGCCTTACTGCCTTTAAAAAAATGTTTTTTTCTTACAGTAGGCTAGTAATTTAATCTCTCTGGGGCTCATTTTTCAGAGCAATAAATTGAAGATAACAATACATATTTCATAGGGTTGTTGTGAGGATTAACAGATGAAATATGTGAACTCACATTATAAGCTATAAAATTTATTGTATAAGGCATTGCTGTAGCATAGTGGTTAAAGATTGGACTGTGAACCTTAAGGTTAGCAGTTCGAAACTACCAGCTGTTCTGTGGGAGAAAGATGAGACTTTCTGCTCCCATAAAGATTTACAGCCTCAGAAACCCTGTATAGGGTCGCTATGAGTCGGAACCGACTCCACAGCACATAACCACCACCACCATTCACTTTTTCAAGCAGTCTGTAGGTACTCTTCAGTAAATTTTTCTTTTTTTCTTTTTTTTTTAACTGTACGGACATGATTTTTTCTTATTGCTCAATTTCAGAAAGAGAAGTAAAAGAAAAGTGACTAATTTAACCAGAGGAAATACCAAAGTCACAAAGTCACATAAAGAGACTCAACATTTTCATTTTTGCTTTTGTATCTGATAGAAATTTAGTACTCCTTATTATGCTTACTTAATTATTATATTTTATTCAAAGTCATTTTTCCTAGGGCAGTGGAGATACTTTTGGCTGCAGTATAGCTACTTGAAGATTTTGAAGTAGAAATGATGAGGGAGAAAAGTACAGCCATGTGTTTTATATAAAACATGTACTGATACATGAAATGGACCATCTTTGAGTAGCTCTCAAAATGTTTATTCATCTATTTCAGTTTTTCATCTACTAACATATGCTTTTAACTGTTTATTTGCTGAAGTATAATAACATTTAAAAATCAGTGATTTGTCTGTATTGTTATATACATATATATATTTGTTGTTGTTTTTTTGTTTTACTTATAATCTCAGAGTTTTAGTGGAAAAATTTGCTTGAAGGAAGAATGTGCAGGTGACATTGTAAGGATGCTAGAATGTGATATACCTGGAATTGTTAAGATTTTGGTGAGTATCTTTTTATATTTCTTGCTTTCTTTCTTTCACTCTAATGGTATTTTTGACTTAAAACAAATTTGCATGTCATAATATAGGATGCTAGCATTATTCTCTCTGATGTTGCTTAAGCTCTCTGAGTTTTCTATTGCTTTGGTTTGGTTTATCCAAAGTAGTTTTTAAATGATCTTTAAACATAATAAAAATTGTAAAATAAACACAGAGAGAGACAGAGAAGAAGAGAAACAGAGATAAAGCAAGCCCCACCTGTACCAATGAACAGAGTTTGTCATGAATCCATGATGATACCTAATCCAGTTCTGAGCTACCTAAGGTTCGAAATAATTTTAGATTTTCTCAAATTCCTTTATTCTTTAAACATCAGCCTATGAGAATAGCGAATCTTCAAATAAAACACACTAGATTGAATTTTAAATGAGGTATCTATACACTATGAAATATAGTTGCTTACTTTAAATGTACTCAGGTAGTATTCATTATAATTTTTGACAAACTTATTTATTGAGTCATCTGTCTATAAATAAATTGACCAAAAATAGAAATATAAATGTATCTTTTTAATTTCTTTATCTTTGTTGTTGTTGTTAAGTACCGTCGAGTTGATTCTGACCCACAGCAACCCTGTATAGGGTTTCCAAGGAACAGCTGGTGAGCTTGAACTGTCAACCTTGCAATTAAATGACTTTGCAGTCTGGCGCATTAACCCACAGCACCACACCAGGACTCCTTTATCTTTAGATACATAATATTTACATTTCAAATATGGCATTTAAATTTTATTACTTATCTTCTACATAAATAACTTTCATAAGCATATAATTTGCAGAGCATGCATAGGAAACTGAAGAATGAGGGCTTTGCACAGTATGCAAAAACATATAACTCAAGAATTATTTGTGTAAAAAATGTTAGCTAGAACTGCATTCCACCACTTGTCTGTCAGTTTGTCATACTGT